AAGAGTTTAGAGATATTTTGCTCACTGCCAAATTTTGCAGTGTCTTACATGCAAATTACCCAAATTTCTAGTTGTTAGTTCCTGCATCCATTTTGGAGGATGTTTGCTTTGTCTAAGTGAAAACTACAAGAGGATCAGGGCGATTCTGTAGTCAGAAGCCCGTAGTGTAGAGTGTCCACACATTATATGCTATGCATTTTTCTAAAGTCAGGTATGCATCTTTTACTTTTAGAATTATCTTTGAGAATTTGATGTTTTGTATTGATTTGATTTGAAATATCTGAATTGGCTATGCAATTGGCATAATACATATTTACCTGACCGATAATAAAATGTTATATTTGGTTTTATTCTCATTCACTCTGTAATTACTGACTCTAATAGATTACGTTGTATCCTTTTTTCCTGCATTTTCTTCATCAGGTTAAAATTAAGACTAAAATTCAGTTGAGATGGAGCATAGGGCACACATAGGGCATGTATCTTTAGAGATCCGGCTAACACTTGGTATTAGTTTAAGTGTACTTAGACTGTAAGGGCTTATAGGGAATTTCCGTTTAGGTCAACTGGATGTTGTTCGACCAACCTAAATAGGGTGAGCCTAACCTCTGTTTATTGTAATATTAGGCTACTCTAGCTAAGTGTGCATGGCTGACTAGAAATAATGTTGCTTTACTCAAGTGCGTAGATCTATGGGGACTAAATTAAAGTACTTTTAGAATGAGCAAGCATAGGAGAGGCCATCTAAAGTATTAATCAATTACCTCTGCTATGAGATGAGAACCCGAATGAATGGGCGTCACTAGGCCATTTTTAGGGGGGGCTTTAGCCCCTCCAAAATTTTTACTCAGCCCCCCTAAATATTTTGCGATTAGCTCCATAAACTGTACACAAATTCATGATCGCCTCAGTCCCATTTAAATTGAATATGAAAATGGCGTCAGACTTTGGCTCTTCCTGGTCTTTCAGAACGTTCTTCAATCCGCTGACCGCGGTGGGAGCGAGAAACGGAGGACAAGGTGTGTGTTTACCGATAGATTGTTATAATATCTGCATCTGTGCAATTTTCATACTTTATAAAATGTTGCTATTTTCATTTGAAAATTGAACTTTCAATATAAAACATATTACAGTGCATGTGGCATTAACTACCATACAGTCATTCACAGAAATGATTGAAGACAGTGATAGAGAGTACTTGAGCATATATGGTACACTTGAGCTAATGACAGAGGTGTGTACTAGAAATGCAAACAGTAAAATTGTGTGTGTGTGTGTGTGTGTGTGTGTGTGTGTTTGTGATCAGGAATACTTGTATTTGGCTTATTCAGTACTCAGACATTATACCCATCTAACTTACGAAATACAGTAATACTGCAATATGTTCAGTATACAACCCTAACCTATTAGTCAAACATTATTTTATTTTATTTATTTATTTATTTTTATTATTATCATACCTGCATTGGGGGCTGAGCCCCCCTAAAATTAAAATCCTAGAATTGCCCCTGACACTGACCAGTCACAAATGTGATATTTATTTACAAGAATTCACTAATAAGAAGTTAATATTGTGGTGTGTATACATTAGACACAATATAGTCTGATCTTGCAAAACTGTGTAAATGAAAATATTACCTATAAAGCCACAGAAGAACTGTTGTGCATCTCCAGTCCTTACAAAACACAATAGGTGTTTGACTTGAAGTAGCACTGCACAGACCATTACATGTATTATTGATATTTAAGTAACCTTGTAACAATGTTGAATGAGGACTCAGAAAACGTTAAACAATGGGATCACATATAGACCATATAGACACAGTAGCCACAACCTGATGACAAAAATAACTAATCAAGTGACAGAATAGTGAATGATAGCTATAGATAACGCTAACATTTAATAACACTCTGCATGTAAATAAATGCTATCTTTTTCTTCCATTCTAAAATCAAAATGTGCCCAGACATACTAATGAACACACAGTTGATTGGCAGTTGCTAAATTGTGAATATTTCAGCAAATATTTTGCTTCGTACATTCAGTTTAACAGCATTAATGAGGGCAAATTTGAGCGTTTTACCGAACATGCATATGCATTTCAAATACTTAAATGATGTTCTTTGTCCACCCATGCAATAAATGCATCGATTTATTGTCCCAGCCCTACTATTAGCCAATCATAGCAGTGGGTGTTTACTTCCGAGTCTACAATCCGCCACACCTATTCAAACTGTGTTTCCCAAAAGCATCGTAAGCTTAAGTACATCCTAGACCCAATGCTCGTGTGTACAAATATTTCTGAAGAATCTGATAGGCATTGATAGGATCTTGTGACACTGACCGGTGATTTTTATCTCAATCTGTCCTGTTTCAAACTCCACAGACAAGTGAATGACAAATGCTGCATCAGCCACACAGTTCTGCTCGTGATCCTCTAAAGCCCCACTGGAGCTCTTATAACTTTGTTTCTCTTTGACCTCTCTGTCTACATTGTTATTTAAAATAAAACATTATTCATAAGGTGATGTATGTGTGTTTAGGGAAGTATGAACACTCAGGTTGTCATCAATGAGCTGTTTTCACCGTGTTTGGATCTGTTTCGGTAGGAACTAGAGCTGGAATAATCCTCAGCCTGAACTCTTCATCATCTGGAAGATATCAAAGACATTATGTTCAAAAAATTAGAATGATTCAGATCTTAAATATTCACCCCCAGATAATTTAGGTTAATATTTTAATAATTTAAAAACACATTTAGATGTTCATGGTTCTGTGATGGCTAATGGTCACATGACATTTATTTTTGTTTCATTTTACAATTCTGTATATACAGGTCTGTGCAATTTGGCCCAAAAAAAAAAGATTTTGGTATTTTTTCATGTTGATATTGTGATTTGGACTGTGACATTTCATCTCATATTGAAACTATATATATATATATATATATATATATATATAAAAGTACACTCTAAAAATGTTAATGATCCATCTTCTTCCATTTTTCCATCTAGAGTATTTATCCTGATCTTCCCATTTTTCCTGTGAATTACGTCACTGCTAGTGCGATGGATCCATTTAATCTCATTAGGTCTGTCAGTGTTTGTTGTTGGCAGCTTGATGGTGCAGGACGTCCCCTCTAGTATCTCTCTTCCACATATATCTGAAACTATAAAAAAAATACAATTATATTAGAATTTAATAAACTCAGCAGGGTTCATGCACTCATATGTGGTTTACAATGAGGAATAAATAATTAATAAAAAGAATGAGTATTTCTCAGGATGGGTTTTTTTTTCAAAGTCAATTTCTGTTTAGACTTTAACCTTAGACAAAACTATTAAACAGTAAAATATTCTGTTCTGCCATTATTGACTATAAAACTGATGCAGATCATTTAGAGTAACACACACTGACTCCTATAACAACAGGGCCTGTCATCACAATGTATGGGGTAGGTTGTCACAAATGGTGACCAGATGGCCTGTTACAGGCCTTGTATCAGAATTTAAACAGTAAAACTGTAATGAAGCATGTAAACGGAAAAATAAATAAATCAAACTTAACCATTGTTACGGCCAATAGGAATTAAACAAATAGTGTAAAATTACAGTACAACATATTTTTCCTGACCTGACATCTATTAAAAAACTGTTCAGAAAATACAGTAGTACAATGTTTAAATTCAACACTGCCTTTACATTTTTGTTCACCGGTTTATCAAACATATGATAGGCTGAAATTTCACCCAAAAAAATATTTGCATTTAAAAAGTGTCCAAAAGTGACAGTAATGCAGTTTTTGCCTATTTTACCTGACCTGCCCCTTAAAAGTTATCTTAATGTAAAAATATGTTAGACATCTATTTATATAAATAACACTATATGCATGAGAACAAAAGTTAATGTGGTGTATTATTCTTATATTTTAATCACATTGTAACTTTTTATCTCATCAACAAAATACTTAGGCCAACAGTAAAACACCTCAAATTAAGAGAAATAAGCTGTTTTACTTAAGTTTAATAAAATAACTACACAAAATGAAATCATACCATAGAGCGCAGCAAAGCCACAGAGGAATAAAAATAAAAAACTGTATCGGCAGCTCATTGCTCCTCTGAAAACAGCAAATGTTCCAGAACCTTTTCACAATCACGACGAGACATATAACTTCCGATCACAGAAACAGAAACGAGATTTGCATTCACGGAGCTGGAGGTTATGCAGAGTCAGCAACTAAAGATGTCAGTGATTATGCAGACCAATCAAATAAAGGCTGCAAACTCTTACGCATGCAGTGAGATTCACAACTGACACTTTTCTCACGCCACACGTCAGTTTTGCACGCAGTGAAAAGAGCCTCAGTTGAAACTGTAGTAATATGATATTAGCAAATCAAATTTGGCAACTCTCCAGTGCGTGTTTGTGCTTGCACTGTCTGGAGAGCATTTAAAAAGTTACTAGTTCGTGTTTTTGTAGCGTTGAGCAATGTAGCTAATCACAGACATATCTGTTGATTTCTCAAACACCTCTGATTGCACTGTAACAAACAGTGTATACACGATATAATAAATGAGATGCATTGCACAGTAGCCCTGGAACGCTATACCTGGTGCTTCACGATTTAAAAATGAGTCGCTGAAGGAAACGTTAGTGGTCGTGTCAAACTCCACTGTATATTTTGGTGCAAATGCATGTGTCATTTTACACTTTGCATAATGGCAAATTACAAAATACAGTATTTTGTGTTTATTTAATTCACTGTGAAAATGATTTTTGAAGTTGTAGATAAAAAAAAATCTGCAATATTTATTGGCATATGTTTTAAAAGACAATACTGTTTTTCTATATCAAAATGTGAAGAAGTTTAATTCAGTGTATTGTCCACTGAATTCCATTCAAACAGAACAGAGCGCCCCCTGGGGGAAAATATCCGCACTGCTCTTAGTGGAAGAAGACCAGCACAACGCCTCATATTTGCGCTTTCAGTTTGCGTCTTGGGAGCGTAATAGACTTTCTGAGCAAAACACTACATAAAAGTGCATTAACGTGTCCTTTGGATAACACAAATGTCTGCAAGATGCTTGACGTTGGTCGCAGTCTGCGTTGTGTTCGTCTCCACAGAAGCTGTTTTAGGTATGTTTTTAGGATGTCTTTAACGTTTAATCGAAGTTGGCGCAGCAGTTTAGTTATAAATGATATTCTTGTATTGTAGCCTAATTTACATGATTGCAGTGTACGGCAGCCATTTGCATATTGAATGCTGACTAACATACTCTCCCATATTTTATTAATAAGGCGAAGATGTGAAGAAATCAGTGGGTGAGGAAGTGTCTTTTCGTCCAGACAGAATAGATCCTCCTGTCAGCAGCATTATATGGAAACACAGAAACAGCAGTGGAGTTGTTGTAAAAGCGATTGAATGGGATGTTGAAGATGGTTTTAACACCCCGAATCAGAGATTCAAAGGCATCACAAGTCTTAATGAGAAAACTGGAGAAATCACTATAACTGATTTAACTGTTGAACATAGTGGACTTTATACCATCGACATCAACAGTAAAGAGCAGAAACACAGATTCAACTTGACCGTAACGAGTGAGTGGATGATTAATGTATTCTTAAAAATAATAATGTTAAAACGTTATATTATTAATAATATTATGCATTTTTTTAGTCGTACATAAAACAGTGCCATGATACAATAATGGTATTGTTTGTAATATAGGCCTAACATGGTACTGTGGTATAGCAGGTACAGCTAAAGATGCACTTTAAGAAAATGTGCTTTTTTATTACTTACACAATCTATGATTGCACAGGGGGAAAAAGGTGTTTTATTGAACATTTATGGAGAAGAACATATTGCGTAATAATAATAAAAGAGGTCTGTTTTGTTTTAAAGCTTGAGGTGGTGAAGTCCTTTTACTCCACACTACTGACACAAATACATTAGCTCAAGTAATATTGTATGTTTTGCAAGTTAATTCTGGTTCAAAACAATCACTTCAGCAATGTTTGTAAACTTTTCTGTTTATTTTGATGCGTATCTTTTTCAATAAATCTATTGTCAGTCAGTGTTCATTTAAAATATATAAACAAGACATGCTTCAAATTATATAATAATTTATATATAGGCCTATATAAAATATAATTTTATTGATTCTCATTTGCTACTCTCTCATGTTTTATTTATTAGGAGAAGAAGTGAAAAATGTATTTGGTGAAGTCGGTGGTAGAGTGTCTTTTCGTCCAGCCAGCTTAAATCCTCCTGTCAGCAGCATTATATGGAAACACAAAAACAGCATTGGACCTGTTGTAAAAGCGACTGAATGGGATGAAGATGGTTTTAACACCCCGAATCAGAGATTCAAAGGCATCACAAGTCTTAATGAGAAAACTGGAGAAATCACTATAACTGATTTAACTGTTGAACATAGTGGACTTTATACCATCGACATCAACAGTAAAAAGCAGAAACACAGATTCAACTTGACCGTAACGAGTGAGTGGATGATTAATATATTCTTAAAAATAATAATGTTAAAACGTTATATTATTAATAATATTATGCATTTTTTTAGTCGTACATAAAACAGTGCCATGATACAATAATGGTATTGTTTGTAATATAGGCCTAACATGGTACTGTGGTATAGCAGGTACAGCTAAAGATGCACTTTAAGAAAATGTGCTTTTTTATTACTTACACAATCTATGATTGCACAGGGGGAAAAAGGTGTTTTATTGAACATTTATGGAGAAGAACATCTTGCGTAATAATAATAAAAGAGGTCTGTTTTGTTTTAAAGCTTGAGGTGGTGAAGTCCTTTTACTCCACACTACTGACACAAATACATTAGCTCAAGTAATATTGTATGTTTTGCAAGTTAATTCTGGTTCAAAACAATCACTTCAGCAATGTTTGTAAACTTTTCTGTTTATTTTGATGCGTATCTTTTTCAATAAATCTATTGTCAGTCAGTGTTCATTTAAAATATATAAACAAGACATGCTTCAAATTATATAATAATTTATATATAGGCCTATATAAAATATAATTTTATTGATTCTCATTTGCTACTCTCTCATGTTTTATTTATTAGGAGAAGAAGTGAAAAATGTATTTGGTGAAGTCGGTGGTAGAGTGTCT